GTTTAAATTGACCATATATACATTATTTCCCCCCCCCCGTTTTTTTTTGTACTTAACTTGTCATAATATGAGGTAAAAATTCGATCTTTGAGCCTGTTGAGCAGGGTCAAATTTTTTTGCAAATGAGTTAAACTCATTTGCAAAAAAATTTTTTTTTCACTGTTTAACTCATTTGCTCTTTTGCAAATGAGTTAAACAGCTAAGTTTCATAGTTTTTACTTGAAGTTTTACAAGCAATTTTATGTGATAGTCGTAACAAAAAATCCAATATTAAAGATAACAAATAAACATCCTATATTTGTAGCACATACTCTGTGCATCATTCTAGTCAGTTTCTGCAATGATTCAGTTGAAATTTTATCTAAACTTTTGTATGAATACTTAAAGGCATATTTGATTAGTTGGTTGCATTTTCCTCCTATTACTATCTAACTCATTGCATAAGAATTTGATCAGGTTTCAATTAGGCAACTGAGACCATGCCATATATTTTAATTCCTTTTTTCTTTCTATTACTGTGATATAATTTTGGCAGAATTGAGAAATGTGTTTAGGATTGGTATCCTGTTAAAAAGCATATCTGCAACAATTTTTTTCCTGCACTGGAATGGATGTTGTCAGAGAATACTTTGGTATACTGATGCCCTCAATATGCACAAGTTCACCAATTTTGTTTACAGCAAAACAACTCCATAAGTAACCAATATTTATTAATATTTATGAAATTAATAACTTATATATTCTATTATTAATTTTAAAAATTTAAATTACTAAGTTTTAGTGGAGTATATATTTATTGCACAATATTTATTACTAATGGGTCATTCCATATAAGATGAGCCAAATATAAGAAAATTTTTTTAAATTCACACTCCCTGTAGGTTTTATGGATAAAAAAAATTTCAGAAAATTTCAAATAATCTCAAAGCTTTCTAAAATTATGGCAATTTGAAAAATTAATGACTCTATTTTAGAAAAATTATTGTCTTTTTTAAAAAAACCTTATCTTTAAACAGAATCTTAAATACTTAAAAAACAATATGATGGCATTAACTTTCAAAAAAAAAATTATTATTTTACAAAAACAATTTTTGGTATTTTTTTGGTAATAGAGTAAAACAGTAATAGAGGCGTATTTCTGGAAATCTTTTAGTTGCTTTCTGGAAATCTTTTGGTTGCTTAGCATTTTCTATATTATCTGTTATATTAGTTTTAGAAATACTAATGAATTTAATAACTGGTATATTTTCAGTACACTATTTAAATATTTCAGTGACAGATAATATTTAGTTATTTAAGACAGGTCCTTCCTACAAGTTATTTTGATGTCAAATGATGTCAAAGCTTACTAAAATTTTATAATTTTTGTCTTGTCTAGCTGTTCCATCACTTAAGCAATAACTTAAAGTCAAATTAGGCTGGACAATTGAGACAATTATTATATCTTTTAAAACTCTTGTTAAAAAAGCACAACTAGCATTAGCATACATTCAGATATTATGCAATAGTTTATGACTGAGTTTATTTTCAGAATCTTTGTAGCAAATAATGGAAGGATGTAGTGTTGCTTGGCTATTATTCCAATGAAATCTTTGGGCTGCATTTTGCGCTATAAAACTATATTTTTCTGCAAAATAAAGCGAAATAATAATTTGGTTTTGTTGAAACTTTTTTTTCAGACTTCAAAGGAATAAAGATTGTTTCTTTGAAATAAAATGGTGTGATTGCAATTTTTTAATTGTGAAAATAAATTCTTTAAGAAACTTCTCCAATGGAAGTTCTAAAGTTACCAAACTAATAGCATTTTTAACCACTGCTTGTATGGCACTATGTTCTTACATTCATAACCATGTTGATTGAAGATATCACTCATATACTGTTTTAAGTTCTCAACATTTAGGCAATTATCAATACTATAAAGCAAACAGCTATGATTCTTAATGTCACTGTTTTTTATAAAAGTTCTTTATATTTAATGTTACCGGGCACTGTATACGGAATCAACGCAATCAATGAATTTTGGTGCATTTGACAGACACATACTGAATGCACCAGATGCACTACCTATTATTACACACATTTTTGGAGAAAGTTGACAAAACTTTGAAAACTATTTTTTCCCTCTTATTTTTAGAAATGTAAATGTAGCTCTTTTAGATTTTACAAGTAATATTCACTTTTAGATATGTTGCTTTTGAACATCAATTTTAACTGAAACTAACTCTTTCTTATCAGAACAAACCAAAGAAAAATCGTCAGCGATAAAAACCTTTGATCTTTGTTTTAAGTGCCTGTAATATCTTATTGCTAGTAATTTTTTTACACTCTCTTAAAATACCTTTAGATGCCTTTAGTTTACTTGCTATTTTAACCATTGATTTTGGTATAGAAAAGTATATTTATATTCAAATATATATATATATATATATATATATATATATATATATATATATATATATATATATATATATATATATATATATAATTTGAATCTACCTCCCCAAAGCAATGAAGGCCACTACAGTCGAAGAGGCTACCATAGTTGTGGTTACAACCCTCTCTCAATTCTATAACTCCAAGACCAGAACCTTGACAAACAAAGCCACTGCGTAGAGAAATAAATTGTTGTTTATTGGATTACTATTTGTGTTAATGTTATTTGTGTTAACTATTTGTGTTAATGCTATAAGGTTTATTTTTTTCATTTCTGTTTGATGTAGCAACTTTTTCCTCAATGGCTTCACAGAATAAATCTAGATCTGTTGATCTTTTCAAATATTGATTGTTTATTGAGCAATTAATAGAAATTTCATTATTGAAATAAATGCTTAGCAAGAGTTTGAAACCTTGAACTTTTTCTTCCATAACTGGGTCTGTCTCAAATAGACACTGATTTTAATGGAGAATAACTCAACACCCTGAATTTTTTATTAGCAATTTAGGAACCAGTTGGAATGCATACTGTGTTGGTTTCATCATCAATGTATTGTCTTCAATATTTCCCTGGTAGTACCACGCTCAACTTGTTTCTCCGCGCAACAGCCTTGTTCGTCAAGGTTCGTGTTTCAGAGTTATAGAGTTGAAAGAGCGTTATAGCCACAAATAAATAGCCTCCTCATCTGTAGTGGCCTTCTCGGCCTTGAGGAGGTAAATTAAAATAAAATAAAAAAAAAAAACCTCTTGGTTTTAAAGTAAAAAGAATTTCTTCAAAGTTTCAACTCATCTCAAAATGTTCTAAAATTATGGCAAATTTAAAAATTAAAGGCTTTTTTTAATAGCCTATTTTGTGCAATTTATTATTATTATTATTTTTTTCACCTCCCCAAGGCCGAGAAGGCCACTACAGATAAGGAGACTATTTAATTGTTGTTATTACCCTCTCTCAATTCTATAACTCCGAAATACGAACCTTGACTAACAAGGCCGTTGCACGGAGAAACAAGTTGAGCGTGGTACTACCAGGGAAGTGGTGGGAAACAAACTTGAAACCTCTTGCTTATAAAGCGAGCGTTCTACCACTACACCACAACCACAATCCATATTAAAAAAATGATTATCTTAAATATTCAAAAATCAATATGATGGCAGTTATCTACTTCAACTTACAAAAAAATTAAAATTTATTTTGTAAAAATAATTATTTTTGACCATTTTCGATTTGAAAAAATTACAAAAAAAAAATATAATTTAAAGAAAAATTCAATATTAATAAAGCAAATGGAATACACAAGAGAATGTAAAATTTTTTTAAAAATATAGGTGGTAGGTATCATTTCTGATAAGTTTTGTAACATTGGATTCAAAGTTATAGAAGTAGATTCCCAAAAAAAGCCTCCAGTCTCAACGCATTAAAATTTAGTCCATTTAAGAACTGAAAAGTGACCATGTGTACAGTAAATTTAACACTTGAAACTTTTAGGAATGTATCTTCAATATAAGAAAAAAAATATATAAAGAAAACAATTTTGGAATGTCTTATAACTGCTGAATAACTCTCTATCAAATTAGGATTTTGGAATTGAAATATGGCCATTTTGATTTTGTTACATAGCCGATATTACTAAAATGGATCAAACTTTGAAATTTTGTATTTTCATTTCATTAATTTTGATAAATGAAATAATATACATTATTATGTTTAAAATAAAATAATAACAAATATCTTAAAACTAAGAGGTAAAAGTAACAAAAAATGTTTACTAAAAATGTTTTACTAAACCTTGATTATCATAAAACTTTTACTCAAATAAGAAAGAGCTCATTCAAATCTTCACTGAAGAAGAAAAAAAAAATTCTTTCTTGGTGATATAACTTTAAAAGAATATAGTTCTCTTTGTTCATCATGAAAAGTTACTTCTTGCATGTTTCATTATGAAAAGATGTTCCTTGCACATTTTATCATGAAAAGATGTACCTTGCACGTTTTATCATGAAAAGAATTTCCTTGCACTTATTAAACCACACAGGTATTGTTGTGACCCATATGAAGTTCATAAAACTAAAGCATTGAATAAGTAATATTAAAAAAATCTTAATTATTTTTAAAGTTAAAAGTTAATTAGTTATTTTGTTGTCATTGCTTTATGTTGATGACAAATAAAAAAAGTGATGACCATGTTAACATGTTTTATTTTTATATAAGGTTTTATATAAAAATCGATCTCGGATCGAACTCGGAACCACTCGTTTATGAAGCGAGCGCTCTACCACTACACCACTATCGCACTTTTTTAATATAAAAACAAAGGGTGTTAATTTCAAGAAAATCTGAGTCACCCGGGAAGGTTTGGCTTATCTTATATGTAATGACCCTAATAAAATATAAAGTGATATTTATCACACTAATATTTATTGCATTAATTCTTCTCTTTATTAATAATCTCATTCTTAATTTAATTAAAACTAAAAATTGAATGTAATTGATACTTTATTAATAAAAATAGATGTATTTGAAAGCATGATAGATGTACTTAATAATTTAAAAAATAAAATAAAATTACCAGCTTGTGAAGATCTCCTGTAGGATCCACCCATTTATCCTAAAAAAATTAAAATATAAACATATTAGTTTATATATATATATATATATATATATATATATATATATATATATATATATATATATATATATATATATATATATATATATATATATATATATATATATATATATATATATATATATATATATATATATATATATATATATATATATATATATATATATATATATATATATATATATATATATATATATATATATATATATATATATATATATATATATATATATATATATATATATATATATATATATATATATGTAAACTAGACTCAGAAAGAACAAGTTTCATAAGCTTTGCAAGATTAAAAATTCTGTGAATAAAAAAAATTTTAAAGACCACAAATATTTAAGAAAAATGATAACAAATGGTTTTTATGCTTTTTACTTTTACGTATTATATTCATAACTCAATTATTAAGAAAAAATTTGACTCAAAAATAGATTGGCTAACAGTTAGGTATGCAGTTATTTCATTTCTGCTATTCAAGTAAAAGTCGTAACAAAATTTTTTTTAAGCAACTTCAAATATAGAGAAGCATTAATCCAAGAAGAAGAGTCAAAAAAATTACTCATCATTGTAAGCATAAAATAATGTAATACAGGTTTATATGTTAGCCAGTCTATTAGATAAAGAGGCAAAAGTCCCAACATAAATTTTCTGCTTATTTCTAAAGTTTATGCCTAGGAAACTCTCTACAATACAGAAACCAGATTAAACTTACATCTGCTTAAGATGAATATAAGTATTCACATATTATCTCTAGCTTTTACTCATTTAAGAGCCCAAGGCTGAGAATTATTTCAAGTGCATGTTATATGCTTCTAGCTTTTGATTGAAAAAGCAAGGAGAATATAACTTGATCCTGACCTATATTACTATAAAGGACACTATTAGTATGTTATAATTTAATCAGATAACAGAAACATATAAAAAAGCAATTACACAAAATGTCAGAAAAAAACATACTAAACTTAATATTAGGAACTAAATGAAATATTACGAACTATGTAAAATTTTAACAACTATAATAAATTTAGTAACATTTCAGAACTTTAGCAACAAGTTTGCTCATATCCTCAAATGTTAGACATAATATCGATTCATATCTAAATCTATAGTAATAAATAATACCATAAAAGAAACTCTTAACATCCTACACATTATGGTGTGTCATAATATTTTTTTTTTCTAGATTGAAAACCCTGTATTCTAAAAACTTGTATTTATATATAATTTTACTAAAAAAAACTTAGATTTAAAAATCTGAAATGATTTAGCTACTGGGAATTGATATTTAGTATTCACATAAGTTCGCAGAAAATATCTTAGAATAGCAAATTTTTGCTTGCGGTTGTATATTATCGTAAGGCTTTATATAAAGATAAAAATTGTAATAATTGATTAGATTATTTTCTTTCTTTTTTTTAAGAATCCCTTTTATCAATCAAAATTTTTTTTTTTTAATTTTTTAAAATTATTATTATTAAAATGTTTATAATAGTTTCCGTTTATAATCATTTTTCTATCATTTAGTTTTTTAGATTTTTAGATTAAAAATAGAATTTTTTTATTATTTTTTTTAACAAAACAAAATTTACATTTCTTTTTTTTTTTCTTTCATTAAAATCAAATCTTTCTGTGACCGATTAGTAGACATCAATTCTCTTGATAAGTCCTGCTCTCTTATAAAACCATATCTTTTTTCTTGAGAATAAACTTTGCTTGCTGCTTCTGTTACTTGTTTTTCAATTGACTGTCAATGACAAGACCAATTTGGAACAATCATAGGCTGAAATATTATCTGTTTTATTTCTTCTGTTGTCAGATCACAAGTAAGAATAGGCTCATAGGATATATTCCAGTCAATTAGCTGTATAAGCGTTGTTGAATCAGGTTTTATTTCTGAAGTTATTCTAGCTCTCACATTTTTATCACCAGTTTGAAGTTTTTCATCACCAGGACCTCTGATTTTCACAATTAACTCTATACCATTCTTTTTTTCCTCTATATTCTTTAAGCAGAACATGGTCTGTTCAAAGAATATAGATCAATGATGCACTCAGAGAAAGCATACCACGCTGAACGTCAAACTGTTGGCATAACAATTTCTACTACTTCACTTGATTGATGTTTCAGAAGGCTAAGCTGGTAAAAGAAAAT